TGGCCAGCATGTGATAAGGTCCTATGACAAGGGGATAAAAACAAAAATGGTATCTGAAGATATATTGTAATTCCTGTTATGAGTGGACCCCACACCACAACCAGTCTTTTTCATTCCTATGCTTTCACTTCTGAGGGAAACTTTTTGGAAAGCTTTTCTTTCTCAACTTGATGTGGCTCAGAGGCAATTTTTAATGGACATTATGTACACCTGAGACCCATCCACTGGTGGCTAACATCACTTGAGACTCTGCTGGAGCTCTCAGAGCAGAACTAGGGCCAGGCTAAGTTTGGTCTGAGGCTCCAGCTCAGCCTCAGAGTCCTCCCCTGAGTCCTCAGCCAGGCTGGGCATGATAAGGAGGAGGAGATGGATTTCTATTAATATGGTCATTCCAGTTATTTAAATTATTAGTTTTAATTATTATTTGATATATAGTGACTTGCCTTGTTCTAGTTCTTTTTGATGCAGATCACTATAGTCTGACTCTCCATCTTAGCCATCTTGGAGAATGGTAGATAGTTCTCATCTTATAGGAAATGCCTTTTCAGTCCTATAGTGCTCACTTCCAGAGTTAAAGGGATGTTCCCATCTGATTGAGAAGAACAGAACACCACCAAGAAATGAAATTGGGTTTGGTTTTTTTTGTTGTTTTTTTTTTTTTTTTTTAAAAAGAGAGTTAAACAGTACACATAGTCCTAAAAGCCTCCCGGATGTTTCATTAAGGTGCTTCATTATTAACTGCCCTCGATTTGATCTCAACCCATCATGATTGTGGATGAAACATCTCCAAAAAACCCTGTCCTCCACTGTTCTGCTTAGTTCCTGTAAGCGCATTCCCGCGATATCCTTGGCATGTGGTCTTCCTCTCTTTCTACTTCCCTCCACCTTTCCTAGAATCATTGTTTCTTCCAATGAGTTGTACTTTCTCGTGATGTGACTAAAGTACGACAGCCTCAGTTTTGTCATCCTGGCCTCCAGTGATATTTTTGGCTTGATCTGCTCTAGGACTCATTTGTTCATCTTTTTGGCCATCCATGGGATCCTCAGCACTCTTTTCTAGCAGCACATCTCAAATGAATTGGCTTTCATTGAAGACGAAACTCTAGCACTATAGTATACCCTAGCAGACATTGCCATCTGCAGAGGCTGGATGGCCATCTGTCAGGGATGCTTTGATTGGGAGTTCCTGCATGGCAGGGGGTTGGACTGGATGGCCCTTGTGGTCTCTTCCAACTCTATGATTCTATGATTCTTTTTTTTTTTTTTTGTCAAAAACGATCTTTGGCAGTCACAGGGGGGTTGCGGACTGCCAGAAATAGTGCAAATTGAGTCCACTTTTAGGGTTAGGGTTAGTGCTAGGGAATCATGGGAATTGTTGGTTGTTTTTTTTTTGTGAGACATTGAGCTTTCTCTGTCAGAGAGCTCTGGTGCCACAATAAAATACAGTTCCCATGATTCCCTAACCCTAACCCTAACCCTAAAAGTGGACTCAATTTGCACTATTTCTGGCAGTCTGCAAACCCCCACAGTTTCCTTCTTGTCCTCCGTCTAGCTGGACATTTTAAAGCAGCATTTTAAAGAGCTAGCATAGTAGTGGTTTGAATGTTGGATTGTGATTCTGGAGACCAGGGTTCAATTCTCAGCTCACCCATAAAACCCACTGGATGACCTTAGACAAGTCACACTTTCTTAGCCTCAGATGAAACCTCCTCTGAATAAAATCTTGACACAAAACCCCCATGATAGGCTTAACTTGGGGTCCCCATAAATCAGAAACGACTTGAAAGCACACAACAACAAATAAACAATTATACATTTACAGTATTTTCCTGGATCCATTCTAGCAGTTATAGTGTTTTGTCTGTCAGTAGGGTTGGCATCACCCATGTGGTAACTCATGGTGTCCCCCCCCACAGTGACCTCATCCCATCCCAAACCATCATGGTTTTTGTACTAGTGTTATTCATTAATCATAATTCCTGCATATCACTGACTGTAAGACTAATACAGTCATCCCTTCCAATTCGTAGGGGATCCATTTTGGACACCCCCTCCGTGAATCGGGAAAATCACCAATATTGGAGCCCCATTGATTACAATGGGGGTATGCTCCCGCATGCGGCACTGCGTGCATGCCTCAGGCACACGCACCATTATGTCCCTGCCAGCTTGCCGTCCAGGAAGGATCAAGACCAGGGGTAGGCAACCTTTCCCCTTAAAGGGGGCCAAGGGACTTCAGCTCCCAGAATCCCAGGAGCTATTGGCCAACATGGGACTATTGGCCAACATGGCTGAGGCTTCTGGGAGCTGAAGTCCCTCGGCCCTTAAAGGGGAAAGGTTGCCTACCCCGGTATAGATCATGAAAGGCTATGGAATGCTCTTAAAGACAAGGGAGTGCCACTACATTTGATTAGTCTTCATGAGGAATCTGTACTCAAGACAAGAGGGTACAGTTAGAACAGAATATGAAGAAACAGAATGGTTCCCATTTGGTAAAACAGTCAGGCAAGGCTTTTACCCTAACTGTTCAAATTGTATGCAGAAAATATTATACAGTGGACCCTTGATATCCGCGGGGGTTGGTTCCAGGATCCCCTGTGGATACCATAATCCATGGATGCCCAAGTCCCATTATATACAATGGCATAGTGACGGCATAGTGAAATGGTGCCCCGTACATAAAATGGCAAAATCAAAGTTTGCTTTCTGGAATGTCTATATTTAAAAAATATTTTCAAGCTGCTGATGCTTGAATCCATGGATAAAAAAAAAAAAAACCATGGATAAGGAGGGCTGACTGTAAGGAGAGCAGGCTATATATTATATGATGGATAATGAAATGAGCCAAAGAATTACAGGGGGGGGGGGGGGGGAGAGTCAGCATGTGCTTCATAAACTATAGCAAGACCTTTGACTGCAATAGATCATGAAAAGCTATGGATGGTTCTTAAAGTCATGGGAGTGCCACCACATCTGATAGTCCTGATGAGGAATCTGTACTCAGAACAAGAGGCTACAGTCAGAACAAAACATGGAGTAACAGAATGGTTCCCAATTGGAAAAGGGGTCAGACAAGGCTCCATCCTTACACCCTACCTGTTCAACTTGTATGCAGAACATATTATAAGAGAAACAGGCTTGAACACAGAAGAAGGAGGACTGAAAATAGGAGGAAGGAATAGCAACAATCTAAGATATGTGGAAGGGACCATACAACTAATGGAGAACACCATTAACTTGGAACAGTTACTCAGGAAGATCGAAGAAGATGGTGCAAAGGCAGGCTTACTCCTGAACATAAAGAAAACAAAAATAATGAACACAAATTCAACCTAGACAATGAGGAAATCAAAATAGTTAAAGAGGTCCTGTACTTTGGATCAAACACTGATCAGAATGGAGACTAGAGTCAAGAAATCAGAAGAAGACTAGGAATGGGAAGGGCAGCCATGAAAGAACTAGAGAAGATCCTAAATTGCAAAGATATACAACTGAATAGAAAAGCTAGAATCATACAAGCCATCATATTCCCTATTACCATGTATAGATGTGAGAGCTGGACAGTGAAGAAAGATGATGAAGAAAGACCATCAATTCATTTGAGAGAATGTGGTGCTGGAGAAGAGTGCTGAGGATCCCATGGACAGCCAAAAGGACAGACAAATGGGTCCTGCAACAGATCAAGCCAGAGATATCCCTAGAAGCCAAGATGACAAGACTGTCGTACTTTGTCCACATCATGGGAAGGGAGGATTAACTGGGAAAGGCAGTAATGCTAGGAAAGATGGAGGGAAGTGGAAAGAGATGAGGATCAGATGAATGGACTCTATGATGGAGGTCATGGGTATGAATTTGCAGGAACTAATGAGAGCCAGCATGGTATAGTGGTTTGAGTGTTGGACTGGGACTCTGGAGACCAGGGTTTGATTCCCTGCTTGGCCATGTTAAACCTACTGAGTGACCCTGGGCAAGTCACACTCTCTCAGCCTAAGGGGATGGCAATGGCAAACCTCGTCTGAACACATCTTGCCAAGTAAACCCCGTGATAGGGTCGCCATAAGATTGTTTGAAGGCACACAACAACACACAGACAAGCAGAGCAGGAGGTGTCTCATCCAGAGGGGCGCCATGGATCCACTCAAAGGCGGTTCACAACAACAACAACATGGTCCCCCCACAACATCTGGAGCCCAAACCAGATTTCCAGGTCCCCTTCTGCTAATGTGGGAGAGTGAGGTCTTTCTTATGGTCACATTCATGAGGGTCCCATAGCACCAGCTACTTGACTTTGCTGGTTTGTTTGGAGTATTGGCCACAAACGAGCCTCTTTTTTCGGGCCTGTGAGGTGAAAACACCCACAACGTCGGGCGTGGGCTTGTGGAGACGCTGCTGCTGGTTTTGTGGTACAACAAAATGGGGCCAGGAGTGCT